GGATACATTTTTAAACTGTTTTATTGTGCTTTTTGGTTCGGAGTTAGATGGATTAAAAAAAACAAACAATTAAATGGCACCTACCAAACTGGTTGGAATCTTCTAAATATAAAAAACCCTTAAAGAGCCCTTAATTTTTCAAGAAATATGGCTATCTTTTATTTAAAACTACAACCTTATTCCCTTTACTTTTTATGAGCTGTAGCACTTAGTTTCCCAGGGCATGGGGCATGTACATCATTCAGATATCTGAAATAATAAAGCAAGCAGCCATAAAAATACCCTTTAAGCCAAGTTGAAAGTAGAAAGAAGAAATGATTAAGTTAATAATCTATTATAGAAGCTGAAGACAAAGGGGCATACTTTAAAATATATAAAACTGGAAAGAGAAAGAGAGGACAGGGAAAGTCAAAAGTTCAAAATGCTAATAAAATCATTTACACTTTTGTATATTGGGATGAATACATAAAAAAATACATTTGTGTTGGGATTTAGAACTATACATGCTACCGTCATGCATATATGTGGCACCTCCTGATTTTTCTCTGTGTGTGGTGAAGATGTGTTGATGCACGCTTTGCTGTGATGAGATGAGATTAGTTGTGGTTTTTTTGGAGGCCACCTGAAGTTGCAGGAATGACAGATAGGAACGTGGGAACTCTGATTCAGCACAGTCTCAATCATTACACCAACTTTAACATGGAAGAGGTGATGTTATTAAAGCCCTTCATCATTAAAAAAACAAAATTTTTAATTAAACAGTTATGTTTGATTGATCCCCACTTCTCATTCATTCAGTTTGCTACATAAAAAAAAAAAAAAAAAACTATAATTAAGGTTCAGTATATATAGAAAAAATTTCTTCTGAGTTAGTTCCTCTTGTAAAACAACACAGCTTCCTATTACCTCAAAGATAGTTATACAGATAGGCAATCTTCTGCTATGCTGCAAAATCTGTGTCTCAACATCAGCCAGAGTGCTGAGAGTTTCTAAGACTTTCAAAGCTGTTGGGCAAACAAACCCCAGAAGCTGAATCAAGTCATGTATTTATAGATTATCACAGCGTGCCACCCAGAAAACAAAGCGCTCTGTTCTCTACGGCTGTGATGGGATGATAAAACCTTCCTTCGCTCTTATCTGAGACAAAAGTGCAAAAACAGAAAGGCTTTGACTTATTGTGATTTAAATAAACTATGAAAGCTAAAGTTTCTACTGAACCACAACAACAAATAACTGAATACTACAATAAGGTGTCACTGGAATTTATTTTATTTAAGAAAAGGCAGAAGAGCATTGTTAAAACGTTCTTTCCAAAGATAAACAAATCTACCAAGTTTGACAAGTTGCTCTTGTTTCCTCAATTGTTAGATGAAGAAAAACCTGTACTTGTCATTTTGTACAGTTCAATTTTTCACCCGCCCACTATTTTTATATTTTCAAAGGTCCTGTCACATATATTTAATGTTTGTTTAGCATGTTTGTGGAGATCTAAAACCTTAAAGCAAAGAAATAACAAACAAACCAATGAAAAAAACATTTTCTTTTCCCATGTTATGGAACCTAGACAGGATCAACCCTCTAATGTAAAAAATGAAGTTAAAGCTTTTACAAAGTGAGTTTGTTAGATCATTTGAAACAGTACCCATATTTATATGGTATAACTCTGTTCATTTCTAATATATAGTATCAAACTAATATAGCAGTGTTTTATACTTGAACACATGCAAAATGTCTCTGTGCAGAATTAAGGCCCGATCTACTAACACACCAAACAAAGAGCACTAAACCGTTCATGCAGAATAAACAAATGCATAAATAAAAGGTACATGCAATAAACAGCTGTGTTGTAGGTGATTTAATATAGTTGCATGTGTAGTTGAACATTGCATGTGCAGTATTTGTATATGTATGTAGTTGATTACAGGTGCAAAAAGTGATGCAGACCACTCTATTTAAATGAGGATTTTGCATACGCTACTGGCTGTCACTATGGATGGTTTACATGGCCAAAGGCAGCTGCAGTATGCCACAGCATTCCGTATATATAAGGTGTGGTCTTACTGTGATAAACATGCAGGCAGTGAAGAGAAATACATAACTAAATAATCAGGACCTATCCACTATAAGATAATATGGTAAATATGCTTTTGGCATCTTGATTTTCAACTGACAACCACTGAAGGTCATCATGTCAATTTCTGAAAGTGATGTTATTTAGATACTTCCTTCTCTCTCAAAGACCATTTTAAAGTTATTACTTTAAATAAGTGCTGGAAAGGAAAGGGGGACAAAATCTTAAATCTGTTTAAGTACATCAACAATAAGTTTTTATTGATTTAAATCAAATACATCTGATATTTTTGAGCCACTTAGCTGCAAGGTGGTTGGAGAGAAGAGATAGTAAGTAAAACTTTCTTTATTTCCATCTCCTGTAAAGAATACTATAGTAAATGCAGGCAAAAAAAAACAACAGCAACAACAACAAAAAATAAAATAAGAAAAAAACCATATGTAATCTGTACAGCCCTGATAGAAAGAGAAATTAAAGGCTAGTGGGAAATGCACAGGTCTACATTACCTGTATGTGTCCACACTAAACTGATTTGTACTTCTCCTGCCCGTACGTCTCACAGACATACATCTCACACTCAGTGCATGTCTTAAGAGGAAGTAGTGTTTTATTTAATGTATGTCTACATTTTACCCTAAAAACACTGGAAATCTCTTGTTCACCCATAAATAAAGCGTCTTTAAGTTTAGTCAAAATGAGCTGTGTTAACTTTAAGTTTGCGCTTGTAAAAAACAGCCCCTTCAGTCACAAGCTATAAAAAAGTGATCTCTACTTATAACCTGTATTTTTTTTGGACTTGCTCCTGTTACTGGTGACTTGATATAGAAATATGGCATATAAAACTGCAGCAGTCTGTTAAACGTATTGGGAAACATTGCTTCTGCAGTAATGAAAAGGGTGGGCACACCTTTGGGTGGGTGCAGCAGTTTAAACCCATGGAGGCCTTGACCACTGACAGCCGGATGGCATCACTGCTCAGGACTCATTTCTAAACTGTTATTTGGTCTAAAAAAGATGCAACATGTGCTAAATGCTGCTGCTCTAAGGGAAGATTCATCAGAATCATCTGGCTGAGAGAAACATTTTCTGGTCATTTTTAGCATTAATGAAAAACTTTTTTTGTATTCATGAAATGGGATCAAATTACTTCTAAGTACCTACATCAAGCTATGCAAAAGAGAGTATGTTATCTAACAAATGTAGTTCTTTATTAATATAAATCTGTTCCCAAAAGCTCAATCCCGGCAGTCTGTGTTGTTGACTTGAGACTTTATGGCACTGAGCTTGCTTTTTTCTAATCCATAAATCCATTTCTCTAAATTCTACAGTGATTTGTCAGTTGCTATCCATTAAAAAGTGTAATAAAAAAAAAAAAAAACATTGAGTCTTTTTAGTATCTAAACCAGAGGTCAATAATTAGTGGACTGCGGTTCGGATCTGGACCCAACTGCTGGCTAATCCAGACCCAACCGGATTTAAAACATTTATAAATTACCGTATGTTGTCTGACAACAGTGTCTAATTTCACTTGCGGCGCTTTTTGCTGTTCGTACGGTAAAACCCTCCGGGACTAGGCTGTATATGATACAAATTAGCCAATGAGCTGTTTCAGTCTGGGTTGCTGCTTTGAGCTACTTTTAGACACAGCTGGCAAACCTGTGGCAAGCCGGGCGATGGGAAAGAAGGAGAAGATGATGAGAAAAAGTGAAAGAAAGTGTGGACTGCTGGAAGAACCGCGGGGAACTGGTGACAGAAAAGTGAAATGGCATGCTCAAAGATGACCCTGTACATTTTGAGTATGTTTGGCTCAACCTACTGCTGTGAAGCAGGATTCTCCACCATGAACATAATCAAAAATAAATATCAATCCAAATTCAAAATGAGCAATTTGATATGTGCTTGAGAATGGCTTTGTTGCCATTAAAACCCAGGTTTAAAGCCTTGCAGGGCAGCATAAAGCCCACTGCTCTCATTAAGACAGAAAAAGAAAAAAAACGGTCAGTCCAGGTGTGTCATAAAATATGTAAATCAGGAAATTGTCTATATACCAAACTGAACGATTCTTGTTCTCTATTTCAAAAACACTTTAGATTTTAAAATGTAAAAAAAATAATCTTTTTTTTATATTTTTAATTTAAAAAGTCAGTATATAACATGGATGCATAAACACATAATTTTATTTCACTGTTAAATTCTGTTTAAAGTAACAGATTATAATTAAAAATGTCTCTGTACCTTTAATGGTTGTTGATTTTCTTTATTTGGACACCACTGCTTTTTAATGGTTACCCCTGATCTAAACTATCATTTCCTGAGGCCTGGTTAAATTCTCCATTTATTGCACAAATGAATTTCTCCAATTCCACCATGAGCTGTAATTATGAGTTAATCTTAAGGATGATCCTGCAAAGATGGTGGAATGGAAAGCGCAAGAATCTCCACCTGACATCCCTCCTTGAGAGGGCACAGCTTGAGGAATGCAAGAACAAGAAAAAGCTGGCTAATGTTGCGTACTGCTGTTTTTTCTTTTCTTTTTTTTTTTTTCTAAATGAGGAGCGAAGTCTGGTGTGTGTACCAGCAGGTGTTGTTCTCCTGCAACGGACTCAGCCCTCAGCTCTCCCACTGCGGCTGGTTATTAATGGCTACAGATTCATTACAAGCAGCCAGTCAGCCATGCTGACTGTACGCCCAACACTATTAGTCACACTCCGCCCGATAGATACATATGCAAGAATGCTTAAGATGAATACAAAGTGTCTAACTTAAACATACAAACACGGGTCTTTGCACAGGCTCATGAGTTTTACTAAGACACAGTAGGTGCAATGTAAATAATAAATATTGCTACTAATCTTGTACTCTTGTTTCTCCCTTTTTTCTTTCACCTGAATCTTTTTTCCTTGACTCTTCTTGGATGGTCTCCATTCAGAGGACATCTTTATTCTACATGGGAAAGACAAGAAGAATCCTCTCATCTATGGCCTGTTCACAACATCAAGGTATTGTTTTTATAATGCAAAAATAATAGTAGTGGAGTCCTGTTTAATTCTAATTTATATACATCCTGACACACGTGCTGTAGGTGTTTAAATGAAGTGTGGTGAGCCATTTGTCTTCCTACACAGGCAGAAAAAGAAAACCTGAGATTTATCAGGTCTTTATGAAGATAACGGGAGATTTATATTCAAGCTTTGCTGCAATAGTTTATGGGAGTAAAGCTTGTGTGTCAAAGTGAAGAAAAAGTTTCCAAAAAGATGTAGGAAGTAAAAGAATGAAACTAAAACCTGCAAATGCAAGGTTTACTGATGTAAATAGGCAAGATCCAATCCATCCATCCATCCATCCATCCATCCATCCATCCATCCATCCATCCATCCATCCATCCATCCATCCATCCATCCATCCATCCATCCATCCAGTTAAACAAACCTATGCCTATTGGTTATTTGGGCATTATCCATAGCCAGTGACCATAGCCTGTGACCATTGTGAATTTCGGCCTATAAATTGAAAACCTTTCTATCTGGCCCAGCTTATCCTTCATCAACTGATTAGAGCTGCAATAGCCTGACTGTCAATGAGGTGTTAATGTGTCTATCCATCCCCAGGTTCCCCCCTGCTTTCACTAAGGAGTAATACACCTAATTACTGGAACTCCTTAGCTTCTATCATTGGCATTGAGATGTGTTTTCCAGTTGATAACCAGACTGGGGTCCTGTTCTGTCATTTTTGCTGGTCATGCACATCCACATCATTTTTTTAAATATCTCCTCTTGGTGGTCTCAGCGAAACAGGAAGAGCATCTAGTTATTTTCCCTGATTTATTTTTATTTATGAAAGCATGTTTATGTTTACTGACATATCAATTATTGAATATAAACACAGTAGGGATATTTATTTGCATCTCTATTACTGATTCATTTTTAGACCTCAGATTAATTTCTTGGCGTCCCAAATCTGTGAGACAACTGGAGGAAGGTAGACCTGCAGGTTTATATCCCAAATATGTAGCACACCCATGGCCAACAGAAATTTTCCGTCTCTGACTTTGCAGTAACGAGGAAGAAGTTTAAACATATTAGATTTTTTATGAGCAAACCCTCCTTGTGATTAGGATTCTAATTCATTCTGTCTTTAAGGATTGAATCGGTTACACTTTTGCAACAGTAAGCCTTTTTTGTTCTTGATAAGATCTCAGCTGCTGTGGTCGGTTTCCCCACAATTAACTTCATTGCATTTTCGGTGGAAAACAGGTGTGAGCTACAGGGAGGCCAGTCAAGCATATGCATTTTGTGTTTGAAATCACAGCCATGCAGAATAAGGTGTGGGATTTACCCTGCTGGAATAATCACAGACCTCTCTTATCCTGATAGCAGCATCATTATCACACACACTTTAACATCCATTCCTGCAGCTTTTCATCAATATCACGTTTCAAGTTTGTATATTTCAGACATACAAGTATATAATAAAGACAGTATTTGTCCATATAACATAAATTAAAACAGTCTGAAAAAAGGGTGTATTGGCAGAAGCAAGAAGCCTATAATGCCAACCCTCCAAAGCCAATTTACATTAGACTAGAAAGCACAGAAAAAAAGAAATATAATTATTTATTTTGGCTTTATTCATATTTAACTTTGGTGATATTTCTGGATTCATCTACTGGCTGTGTAGAAATATATTTTTCAGATACAGCTGACCCACTAGGGCTGTACTGATTATTTAGTTTTATATGTTAATTTTTTTACACATATATTAATTATATTGCAGTTTTTAAAGTCAGTTGTCTTAGGTTCTCACCATGCCTTCAAGGTTAATTATAAAATAGTTTAGAACAAAATGTTATTCAAAATTATTCAGGTTTGAAATGAAACTACAGATTAAAGTAAAGGAAATAATAATTTTTTTTTTTTATCGGTGAGCCCTGATGTCTGCACTGATATGAGCACTATCTGCACATACCAGATAGGACTTTAAACATCCCTGACATCAAAAGGTATATATTTCTATAGTTCTTGTAATTATAATTCAATTGCAAAATTTTGATCAAACAGATTGCAAAGGGACACTTTGCATTTAAAGATTTTCATTACATTTCACAATTTAATTTTTTTTGTACAGCTTGAAGGAAGAGAATAATGTGATCGTCTTTAGTTGCGAATCACAACATCTGCCTTGTTCTGCTTCAGTCATTCTGACATGACGCTTGGCCATGAACAGTGCGTCTGTGATGGGATGCGTGTTTCTCATATCACTCTGTGCTGCATGGCACACAGATGTTGGTGTCCCACGCTGTCAGTTACAAACCACTTGTTCTTTCTTATGTCACTCTGAGTCATGAATGAAATACTTGTTCATTCATTTGTGTTAACAACAAGAAGCCTTAGTCATCACATTATTATCATCATCATCATCTGTGAACGGATATAATCTGTTTCAAATCTGCATTTTTCACCCATAAAAAACATTAACTGCATAGCAAGAAGAAATTGCACAACTGAATTTCATTAAAAAGACAAAATGCCTTGTAAAAATGTGCCTTAAATGAAATCCAGTCACTTAACTAGTAAATATAAACTGCCTTTCTGAATCCAGCTCTTTTGTGAAAACTTTAGAGGTTTGTTAGAAATAAAATAGTGAACACATAGAACTATGAACACCAAGAAACAAAGCAGAAAAGCAAGGGTTATAGTTAGGGAATGCTTAAAAAAGGTTTAGGCTACAGTACAACCTGATGAGATATTACAAAGCAATGTTCAATCTTTAAAATGGGAGATTATGGCAGAAACCTACCATGTCACAATGCTCCATCTAAGCCCAGAGGCAGGGCACGGTATAAGAGAAGCAGCCAAAGTGCCTTCGGTAACTCTGGAGAAGCTCAGGTGGCAGATTTCTCAATAGGCCAACATTTAGCTGCGACATTCACCAATTCAATGTTTATTTACGAAACTTAAAAACTCAAGCAGTGCCTGGTGGAATGTATGGCTCACACAAGCATGTGGAAGAAAGATCCCCTAGCTAACAGTGTACATAATTCCTATGGTAAAACACGGGGGTGGCAGTATTATGGTATAGGGATCAGTTCATTATACAAAGACATGTAAGGTAGTTAGAGCTATATGCAGTGAAATACTTGAGAAACAAAAAAAAACCCTTAAGGTTTCAAGAGAACCTTAATAGACGGAATGACCCTAAACAAACAGCCAGGCTCGCATAGTTTAAGACAAAGCACATTCACACCTCAGAGAGAACAAATCAGCCAGACCTAAATGAAATCAAGAATTTGAGGTTAAACCTCAACACTCAACTTCTAATGTGACTGAACTTGAGTTGCTTGGAAAGAAGGACCGAAAAAAAAAGGCTGGATGTGCAAATCTGGAAGAGACACACACCTCTACACTTGTCGCTGTAATTGCAGGCAGAAGGAAAGGAAAATTGCTGATGTCAATGAAATAAATAAAAAAAGAGTAGGCAGTGCCTGAAATAATGGTATTGGAAAAACTTAGCAAAATATTTTAAAAAATGAGCACCCTCGAGGCCAACTAAGACAGACTGAATTCCCTCATTCACTCCACACTGCTGCTGGCACCAAACAGCCGCAGAATCAACAGAGTTTCTGAGTTAGACCCCAGAGCTCTACAGTAGCAGCAGATGGATGACTGCATTTCATTTGGCACCGCCGAGTAGGGTGTTGGCCTGTTTTGGGGATTTGGAAAGTGTGTGTGGAAACTTAGCAGGGAACGGACAGAAATCCAAAGCATCGCACAGGGTGGGGTCCCAACCACAAGTGTTGGGTGAAGAGGGGTCACTCCTGAATGGAAACTTGTCCCATGAGGCAAATTCTTCATTGCTCACATTTTCTTACTGAAGCTGGGGGTGAAAACTAGGAATCTGTCATTTCAAATTTATATAAACATCTAACTTTATTTAACAAAATCTTTTAAAAAATGTCTTGTAATAGTATTAAAAATAGTCTCTTTAAACAATTATCTTCTAAAGGGAATTAAATGTGGCCCTCTAACTGTATGCATCTAAATAGGGAATTTATTTTGAATGCACTTTCTTTGAATAGCAGCTTTTTTTGTTTATCCATCTGTGTGATGTGTCAGAGTTGGAACAACTGGTCGCAGTGGTGAGGAATATTGGTGAGGAAAGAAAAGAAAAAAGATTCCTCCACAGAAGCGTCAGAGCATACGTGCTGCATATGTGTCACCCAAATGAACTGAGGGAAACCATTCTGAGTCATCACAATGTGGCTTCCCTGTCTGTCTTGTTTCTACTTTAGTAGATTTCTCTTACTTTAATTAGACTTTGTAGAAAGCATTTTCCAGAACTGAACATGGTAGCTCCAGCAGTTGGTATTTCGTGGTGGGAACCAACTTTACAAAGCAGCACTTTTAAATATTATGACTGCTTGGTTAGAGAGGTCAGTAAAAGTTGCAATAAAAAATGTTCTCTACTTTTCATATCCAATGCAAGTCAGAGATGTATTCCCACTCATTTATGCATCCCATGTTGATTTTTGTATCTTTATAATTTGTTAGTATGTTTTTTAATGGGAAATTAACATAAAACACATAATTACAATTAATTTAAAAACCAGGAATTTGGTGTAAATGTTTTCTCTAATCCTGACAGGTTCAAAATTATGCGATTGATTTTTAAATGTAGAAAGTTGCTTCATTAAAAGCTTTTTATGGCCATCAAGAAGCTGCTGACATACTTCTGGCACGATATTTGGCCATTCCTCTTGACAAAATCGGTGGAGCTCATGTCTCTTGGTCGGTTTCCTGGCACAAACCCAGCTTTTAAGCATTGTCACGCATTTTCAGTATAATTGAGGTCATGGCTTTCCAAAGGCTTAATGCCAGCCTGCATTATCCATTCCAAAGCCAGTTTTGATATGGCCTAAAGGGTCATTGTGCTGTTGGAACACCCTGTTGTGTCCCAGTTCCAACAATCTTAGCCACACTGTCATCCCCAGATGAAAAGAGAACAATCCAAGAATCAACAATTGCCCAGGCCTGCCATGAACTGAAAAAAAAAAATACTGAAAAACTAGATGTGGTTCTCACTCAAGCATGTTTTTCACATCAACAGGCTCAGATAAGGCTGATCATAAAAGTATACCAAAATAAATAATTAAAACTCAAGTACAATTTGCAGCTGCCAACCTGAGAAATGTTTTATTGTGAGAAGGACTCAAATTAATTGTTGGCTGTCAGTGAAAAGTAACATACTTGGAAGACTGCTATGACACAGATGGTTTAATGACGAATCAAACAGCTCCAAATTCATCAATTTCCACTTTACTACTCTGCTAATCCAAAGGTTGAAATATTTACCTCACTTTTCACTTTTGGAGTATTAACACTCTTCCCACATAAATTATCACACATTTTTATTGAAAACTCCAAGGTAAACTCTGCCCCTGATTTACTCAGACTTGCATACATCAAACAACAGGACAGTGATCTTAAACATACTGGAATTTGTTGTAGGATGACCATATCAGGGTAATGTTTAGCTTCTGGAAAGTATAAACTTCTCTATACTGGAAACTTTCAGAATCCAACCCAATTTAAAAGTGCAGTATCACCAATGTTAAGAATATTGATGCAATAGCCAACCAATTGATTTATGTATAGGTTTAACTTTAAATTGAAGTTTCTATGTCATGCTGTGAAAATTGCTTCAAGTTTTCTGTTCATCACTCCACCCCGAGTAAAAGAACAGCTCAAATTAATCTATAAAAGTCCCAAATACATCCGATGGATGTAAACTGGAGCAGAACTGTTTTGCATCACTTTCCGACTGCAGTGGCTTAAGGGATGCTGTTATTCAAGCTGTCAAAGGAAGAATAACAGGTGGAAATATTGTTGACAGTAACCTCCTGCTTTGTTCTCAGTGATATCCTGAATGGTTCTGCAGTCTGTGTTTATCGGATGGAAGATGTGGTTCGAGCTTTTAAGGGCAACTTTCTGCATAAAGAGGGGCCTCAGTACAAATGGGCTGAGTTTACAGGAAAGGTGCCTTATCCACGGCCAGGAACTGTAAGTTTCCTCTCACTACTGACTGTTTATTGCACTGTTTTATTTTAAATGGATTAAGATAAACATCCAGGAAAATTTTACCCTAATATTACTGTAGGAAATATTACTTGTAAAAAGTTCTAGATAAAAAGCTCTACAAATCAGTTTAAGTTGTAAACATTCATGTATTTTTTTTTTGTGCTTTACTCAGTGTCCCAGCAGCACATATGGCAGCTACAGCTCAACCAGAGAGTATCCTGACGATGTGATTTTCTTCAGCAGGACTCATCCTCTGTTGCAGGTTCAACCTCTTTATGCCATTATTAAATTACACCCATTTCATGTAATTAGACTCTGCCCCGATTTACACAGTTAAGTAATTTTTTCTCTCTCTATCTTAATCTACAGTCTTAAATAAAATTAAGGAATTGAATTAGAGCAGCTTTCCCCACCTCATAACTGATGACATACATTTTCTATCATATTAGGAATGATTTACAAGTTTGGCTGAAAAATCCCTAAAGCTTCAAATTTATGTGATCAATTTTTTAAAATGTAATTAACTTTGTCTTAGGAACACGTGCTGCCTCTGGGTGAGCGGCCACTTTTAGTGAGAGTGGGTGTTCACTACAAGTTCAGCAAACTTCTGGTGGACCGGGTGGAAGCTGTGGACGGCACGTATGATGTCCTGTTCATCGGCACAGGTAGAAATCGAATGGGAAGAGGTGCATTTCAAAACCTATTGTCCTTTCCATGTTAGATATGATTAACAATTTTATTTAATATCTCAGATTCTGGACTCGTGCTAAAGGCCATCCATCTGCCCAGAGAGCACGGTCACAGTCAGGAGGTCACTCTGGAGCAGTTACAGGTTTTTCAGGTACAATGAGCTTTTTCAGACATAAAAAACTTGCATATTTTACCATAATTCTAAATATTTTATACACTTTTTATAAGTTTTCATATCAAAACATAAGCAAAATGATGTGATTTATGTCTTTCATGAGCAAATAAAAAGAACAATAGAAACTGCTGACCTAAAATCCACATCTTGCATTGCTCACCATGGAAATTGTGACTTTAAAGGCTAAGTATGCAGGATTTCTGCCAGATCCAAGTCGCAGCTATGCTTTCTTTAGAGTAATGGCTACAAAAGCCCTTCTGTTATTGCCCAGCCTTATATAGCAATATACCACATGCTTTAGATATAGAATGCAGTAAACATCTTTATCAAATTTACGGTCGGCAGGAAGGGATTATCAGCATAATCAGCAGGTGAAAGGGAAAGCAGTTAATAAGTCCCATGGAAACAAAATACAACTACTGGGCACGGGCCAGTAGGAGAATCTGATAATATTATAAAAATCAGCTTAAAAACAAACACACATAAACACATAAACCTAAGAATGTTTAATATGAAGCAACTGATCTTTTTTTAAAAGAAAAAAGAACACATTAATACTACTTCTGCTAACCTTAGCACATAGTATGTGGTATCATACCTATGAGATTAGTATTATACTTTGTTGCCATTTTGATTTGGATGCACTGATATAGTAATGACAATGTTTTTATACTGATTGCTATTTAATATTAGGATTAATAGAAGATCAAGATTTGATATTAATCTGAATTTCAGTTAAGTTTGAACATCAGTAAACCAGTGCCCATTGAAAGGGTGTTGTTTTTTTAAGGAGATGTGAAACACGGTAGAATACCTCAAAAAGTAGAAGGAATCAATATAAGTGAGAATTTGCTTCTGATTATCTGTCTATCTATCTTTCTTTAAAAAAAACAAGCACGTCTCTCATTTTCTTTCCTCCCTCTTCACAGCATAAATCATCCGTGACGGCGATGGCATTGTCAAAGAAAAAGGTAATGACACAAACAAGACGCAAACTCCCTGCCAACTTCCAAACTTCTTGACTCTTGCTTTCTCTCTCACTCTCACACACACACCTCTATGCACAGAATCGCACTTATCACTCATCTCTCCACCTTGCGTCTCCAAGGACATCTTCATCACCAGTTGCTATGGTTACCTCACCTCAGTCAGTGCCATAATGAAGTGATACCACACATACTTGCACACACACACAAAACGCACATATTTTCACCTTGCATTATTAAAATAGTCTGGGATCCTTGAAAAAAACAACCCCACAAGCTTTCTTAAAAACAGATATGGACATCTAGATCATAAAAAGAAGATTTAACATGTTCTTCCAGTAAACACGAGCAGTGAGAGTTCAGTGTGTTGCTCATCATTAAATGAGATGAATGTCATTTTATTCTACAGCATTTGAAATGAATTTAATGCTTCTTTATTGTTTGTCCCTTGCTTCCTTTTCTTTCACAACCCTCCATTCTCTTTTCTTCCAACTCATCCCCCACAGTGGTTGTTTGTGGGCTCAAGGGAGGGTGTGTCCCAGCTGGCCCTGTACCAGTGTGAGCTGTATGGTCAGGCTTGTGCTGAATGCTGCCTGGCAAGGGATCCTTACTGCACCTGGGATGGACATGCCTGCAGCCCATATATGCCCACCGTGCGCCGGTAGGAAAGAAAAAGCACTGTTTTTAAAATCCAAACAACCCTAACCTGATTAACGTGTATCAAATATCTTTTCTGAGTTGAATGCGTGGTATGCAATCTATAATCAGTCATCTTGAATTAAATTAGAAACCCATATGTTGATAGTTTTAAAGTTACTCACATTGAAACTGAGATCGCTCTAACATTTTAAGCATTTTTTCCACATGACAAACATTAGGGCCCCTTTTACAAAATGTTTTCCAGGCTTTTAATGTATATGGTGACAGTCTAATCAAACCTGAGATTTTTATGAGCATTGATTGATTTTCTCAGATTCAAACACTGTATGACCTTCTCTCTAGTGCCACCATCAGGACAAAGTTTACATACCAACCTTGATTAGGAAAGCAGTATCATTGCTTTAATTTATTTGTTTTTTGGAGCAAACAATATCCAATTGTTACATGTTTTTGTCTGCAGGAGAAATGCTCGTCATTTAGGGGAAGAGGAGGACCCTCTGACTCAGTGTGTCCGACAGGGGGGTGAGGAGCAAATCCAAGTTTAAATGTCTACCCATTCAGATATTATGCAGAACTCCTTTTTTAGCCTGTGTAAAAAATATGTATTAACAGGCTCAGGAAAGTGTTATATTTCTCATTCATTGATGCATGTAACTAAAATGACCTGTATGGTCATTACATAGCATTACATGCATCCATCAGGATGTGTTTTATGGGTGTTTTTATTTTTCCTGCATGAGTTTCAATTCTGGACACATTTACTGAAGGGGTTAGAGCATTGTGCTTGGAATCCAGAGGTTCTGAGTTCGAGCCTCACTGCCACAGACTGCCATTCTGGGTCTCTGAGCAAAGACCCTTAACCCCACACTGCTCCCTGGGCGCCGCACAGTGGCAGCCCTTTGCTTCCCAAGGGGATGGGTTAGATGCAGATAGTTCATTTCTTTGCTCTGTACTTGTGACAGAGTAATGACAATAAAAAGCTGTAAAAATATAGTTCTTTCTAAAGACATTTAGCTTTAAAAAACATCTTTAATGCAGTGAAATATTCTTACAATAAAGATTTAGGTTTCTACCTCATATTTGTACCACACAAAAAGTTGTAGATTACTGATTAAATACCTTTCATATTTAAAAGCATAATCTACTTTGCTTGGAGTAGACTGGATGATCAGTAAACTGGGTAAAATTGTTATTCCTGTGGAACTTAAGTTGAATTCCCTTCACTCAAAAGTTTGTTTTTGCTTAGATCTTCATTATGAGATTATGCTAATGCCATAAATAATTTATCTGAAGTTTTTTACACTTCTTTACCAAAACATCAATATATCCTTTGTTCGCTGGTGAAGATTCTTAGTCATCCACTACATAGTCATTCAAAAAGGAAAATTAAAAACAATCCACTGTACATGCAGTTTCATCTGTTTCAATTTGCATTTTTTCAAAACAAAAACAAAGCTTTCTTGGGCTACTGTATAAAACTTCTAAGTCAACGCTATACCTGACATTTTGAATTAAAAAAGCTTCTTGGGTGGGAAGCGAAGCATCTTCAAAATTGGAAACAAAGTCCAGTGGATTGTTTTTAATTTTCTTGTTTTGGAATATCCATTGTTAGTAATACATTTCAGGAGAGAAAATTTAAATCCCAATAACAGAACAAATGCTTAAAGTGCACCCTTGCTTTGTCGCAGCTGTGCTGCAGGTGGAGGCAGAGCAGAGGGTCATGATGGTGGCAGAGGGAAACAGCACCTACCTGGAGTGTCTGCCTCGATCCAGACACGCTGCCGTTACCTGGTATAAACAAGCAGGAGAGAATAGTGCCGAATTAAACCAGGTAAAAACCGACACTTTTTACTCTTACACGGCCAAATCTATCCCCTTTTGTCATCTTATTTTTAATATCATATCATTTTTGGTGATGTAATCAATATAAAGTAGTTTGGTTTGAATAGATCTGATAATTAAATAGATTAAAAGAAAAACACAGTTGGTTAAGATGAACTGAACTAATATAAAATAACTGAAAGGTTTAGTTTGAATAAAAATTAAGACAAAAGATAAATTATATTAAGTTAACCTGCAATCAACTAGAATAGTGTTAATGGATTCCCATCTGTCCAGGTTTTGACAGGTGACCAGCTGGTGGTGATAGAGCGGGGGGTCCTGATCCGGCGAGCTGAGCTCTCCCACGGTGGCGTCTACCACTGTCAGGTGGAGGAGCACGGTTATCACTGGACCGCAGTCACCGTCCGTCTTGCTGTCTGGAGCCCCTCTGCCAATCGCGTTCTCGCCTCGTTGTCTGGTTCGTCCTATCAGAGCGCAGGAACCCAGCCTTGGTACGAGGATGTGATGGCCCTGATTCACCCTGGAAACCTGGGCGAGCACTGCAAGGCCCTGGGATACCGTCCACCACGCAGCCAGCGTCATCGTGGGGGCTTTATGATTGCCGCCCACAAGGAGAAGGAAAGGGCTGAAAAGCACAAGCATGGGGGAGGAAGAGGAGGAGGGGGAGGTCGCGTTGTAGGGAGGAAGAGCAGGAGCAAGCCTCAACAGAGGGCTCCAAGGAGCGCTTGAACGCAGATCTTCATTGACTGAAACACACACACTTTGTGTAACCTACACATGCACACACTTAACTTATGCTTTAGGACCCACACATACTGTACATACAGAGACTACGTCATGCGCATGCACTTATCGAAAATAAAAAAGCATCCTCTCATTATATCAGTCAAGTCCAATGCCACATAATCACCCGAACTTTGTACAGGATGGCTTGGACAGCAGAGGACGGTTTCGCTTGGATAAATGACTTTGTGAATAAAAATACAAAAGTAGAGTAGCATAGGCTGCATGGCATGTTGAATGAAGGAGGAGCAACACAGCCTGATCAATCTGTGTTGTGACAAGAACACTAAGGAGGATGATATGTATGTGGAGGGAAAATTTGTCCACAATCAGAAATTCAACATTTTAAAACATAACCCCGCTTAAATGATCTTGAACTTGAGGGGAAACCTTTTAGCTTTGCATTTCCCCTTTGATTCCCAACTGTACATGCACTAATTTCAAGGTAAAATGGGTTTCAAATTGTCTCAGTCAGCTTTTATAAGAGCAACGAGCACCGGAGCGTGTGAAGAGGTTTGGTTTAATGGAGGTTTTTCCTAATCATAGAAAGGTCTTTGCTCAAATTTAAGGATCTTTCCTTCTGATGAATCTGATGTTGGAGAATCAGTGATAATTCTAAAGTCAAAGCAAGACAAAGAGACAAACATGCGGACTGTGCATAATGAACATAGATCTTGTTCATTAGTTACCAATATGTAAAACAGTAACAAGTGCTACAAAGATTAATCAGTAGAGGGGCAATTAAAAGCACAGCAGTTTCACTGAATATTTATCAGTAGTTACATTATCAAACTACAACAGCAAAGACAAGTATTCTAACAGCTGCTTAGAAAGAATTAATACTATGGTTATAATAATTTAATCCATCAGTGGTTACATTGATTTCAATGCACAGACCCAAGGATGAACATATAGAAGATATGCTAAATTCATCAGTAGGATTCAAGAGTCAATTGTTCTCCTTAACTGCAACTACAGGAGTTTAAAAAAGTGTTTTACCTAAATAATCATGTTCTAAAGCAATTGTTTAGGTAAAAAGATTAAAAATGTGACAGACCTATAGAGTATTAGAGCTAGTTTACATCAAAGAATGAATTACAGTTAAACCTAACATGGCCCCGTATTTTTCTTTGACCTACAGTACAATTGCCAATTATGGATACAGAAGCAAGCATTGTGTTCTAAACCTATCAGTGATTGATTGCTAAGGTATACAAAACTTAGTTACCAATCAATAAAAAAAGTTAATATCATAACCTACTAAAAAAATAAATAAATAAATAAAAGATGCTTTCCTAGATTGGGAATAGCAAGACAAAAATACAACAAATTATTTAGAGAAAAAACAGATTTATACTACCATGTACCACAGTAGATTGACAAACCCTTCATAAGAGAAACCTTTGTTAGTTCAGCTTTAGAAAGTGTGGTTCCACCATAAGATGTTGACTGTTACCACACAGATCCAAGGCAGAGGAAAAAGTGCAAAAATCTCCTTTGATGATTAACTTTCCCAGAATATCGGTGCTGTGTGCTGCAGCTGGACCAACCACTACAAAAAGAGGTTCCTATTGTGTTTACCTCAGTGTTTGGCGCTGTAACATTTCAGGCTGCTGCTAATTTCGTGCCATGTGAGGACAAAGTGAGGAAAGCAAAAACGTGTTCAATTCTATTTCCAGGGTCTGGTTTAGTTTGTTCAGACTCACATTTTGCATAAATCTGGAGAATATGATAAGATGTGTGAAAAAACGTCAAGACATGAGACAACAAGAAACAAAACAGAAATGAAACCTTTCTGTTAAATGAACCATGGAAAATGTCAGTGTGTTGGACTTTGTAGAATACTTCAAAAGATTTTCCATTTGGGTTTGATTAAGAAATTACCAAGAAAAAACGAGCTGATGAGGCCTTCACAGGCAGATTTTGTACATAGCATGCATGTTTCTGAGAGCCTGTTCTGCAGCTCCATTGTGTAATTTCTTGTATCTGCCAGTGATAAAAAGCCTAGAGTGTGCTAAAGAAGCTTTTGCAGGGCCACCAAGAAGCTGAGAAAAGGGGCTCAACAGAAACGCTGCCTGCTGGACGTTGGCTTGACAGATTGGAGCGCCTTTTGTGACTTTTCTGAACCTTAAAATGTAATGTTTAAATGTGCTTGTGTTAAACACAGCTTCTTCCATCATCTGATTTTTCTTTTCTTTTTAGTATTTATGAGTCTAAGTTGGACTAAAGCTTCTTGGTTTGTAATAACTCATAACCAGGTCATAAAGACCCCACTTGTTTTACATGTAAGCATAATTTTCTGCCTGTCTTTGTATGTATATCTGATGTCCATTTGTTACCATTTCCTTCTGTTAATACACCTTCCCACTCCCAACCATGGAACCTTATTTGTATTATTTTGAAAAGTTCTTAGAAAAATCTCCCAATCCTCTTGGTATTAGGAGGTTTATCTCTTTCACTTTGAGGCAGTAGAAATTCAAGAGGGATTTAACCCTTATATTATGTTGAAAAAAATTACATTCATTATGTTGCGGGTAATTTTGACCCGCACTGTGTAAATACCTGCAAAATAGTCAAGAAAACAGGTTAAACCAATAACCAAATTATTTTAGATTACTTAAACATTTAGTCAAGTGACAAACCATACAGTTTTAATTCACACACTTTATTTAGGTTTAAAATGTTCCCTCTTCACAAATTTTGTTTTTTAAAATTTACCTTTAAAATTCGCTAGTTACTAATATTTTGAACATTCAACAATTTTAAAATTCTCCACATGATGGGAAGAATGTAACTGCTTTCTGCAGATGGAATTCATACATTTCACACAAGATGTACTTGTTTTACTGTCCTCTCTGGAGGGACAGAGCTGTGATCTTTTCCTCTTCTCTTCACCCGTCTCGACTTTATGTTGGTTGGGTAGCGGGCAGTCTTGGCCTGGCAGCTGTATATTGCTGTGACTTTGTCCAGATTGTCAACTCCTCCTCTGGTTGAGTTATAATCCAGGATCATTTGTGCCTTCAAGTCCTTTCTTGTGCTCAGAGATATATCAGCTTGCATTATATTCATGATAAGAACCTTTTGTTCCCAACATGGTCAGCTTTCTTTTCTGAAGTTCTTCTCCAAGGAGGTAGGACATAGAGGTTGTCACAAGTGATGTTATGACTTGCAGCCCTTCATTCATCTCCAGCATCAAACACATCTCCTGATTCTTCTAAGCTTTTCCTCCAGGTAGCTTTCCAGTATATACTTGCATATTCCATGCATAGCTGGATTTTGCACCTCAGGCTGCCCTAATGATATGGGCATTCTGAGCAATGTTGACTGAATCTCCTCAATTCTTGTGATTGCAAATCTTGTAGGACCAGGAGTTTTTATCAGATTAGCTGATGATAGTCTGCATCAACTCTCAACTCAACTCAACTCAACTTTATTTATAAAGCGCTTTCAGTTAGCCAAAGCTAAAATCAAAGTGCTGTACAGGTCATTTGAGCAGATTATAAAACACAATTATCACCACAACACAGGACAAACTCAAAGATTAAAAAAAACAGTAAGAGCAAAAAAAGTCGAAGCCTCACTCAAAGGCAAAGGCAAACTCTGGTGTGGTGATGTTGTCACTCTTACGGAAGATGATTGCCTCATTCCTGGGCTTTCATCTGTTCGGGGGATAATAACTGACTCTTCCTCTGAACCCTTCTCATAGTAGGAGAATTGATCATGTGGGTCAACAATAACTTTGTCTTCTGATTCTGAAATATCCTCTGCCTTAAAAACATCTTGCTCTACATCACTATCCCAGTTCAAAATTTGTGAAAAAGACTACTCAGCTGTTATCCTTCAGGAGCTCAGTTTTTGGTGAGTTTTTTCATATAGATGACGTGAGAGCAGTGACAAAAACTAGTGTAAGAAGTAAGAAGTTCCCTCCCTTACCAAACCTGGGTCTGGGTCTCAGAGGCAAATGAAAAGAGTAAAGTACATCATAGAGCCATTTTTTTTATTTACCTGAATGGCTACTTACCCACATTAAAGTGTCCGGGTCAAAATGACCCGCAACATCATATTTGTATACATACTCTGCACAGACACTCCACTACACATCAGAGTGGCCAGATTTTACATACCATATTTTCACAACCATAAGGCGCACCGGACTAAAAGGCGCACTCTCAGTTATGTGTGCCATTTCTGTATTTAACACACACATAAGGCGCACCGGACTATAGGGCGCGTTTTTTATATACATGTCCTCTACTACCTTTAAATACCTCTACTGCGTATTTAAAAATACAGCGGGGGCAAAACTGAGTATGACTGTGCTTTATTCATGTATTTATTACAAAGTATTAATCAAACCTGGGAGCTGGCCGTGAGACAGACACATCGCAGATGACAGAGCTGTGATCACTCCTAAATTAACTTAAAATCTTGAAACCTGCCGACGGAATATGTTCGCTTTTATTACCGGTATCCTGGTGCCTGCAGTTTAAATTATTTAGATGAAAAACACCTGCCAGCCGCCGCGGTGAACCCGGAGGAGACCCGGCCCAGAGGCTGCTGTTGAAGGGATTTCTACTGTTGGTGTACCGCTGGTATGTGGGGGTCTGAGCGCCTCCGACAGAAATAGTATAGGCACGATGATAATCTGGATGAACTGACTGCAATTATGAAGTTTTCAGGTGGACTTTCTCACTTAAAAACATATTAAAACTACTTTATTCCCACTGATCACAGCAAATATAGCTGCAAGATTTAGATTATTTAGATGAAAAAACGCCTGCCAGCAGCCTCGGTGAAACCGGAGGCGGCCCGGCCCAGAGGCTGCTGTTGAATTAAGTTTTCAGGTAGAAAAATAGAGCGGGAGCAAAACTGAGTATGATTGTGCTTTATTCATGTATTTATTACAAAGTATTAATCAAACCCATCAAAGTCATCATCCTCTGTTTCTGAATTAAACAGCTGCGCTAAATCAGACATGCCAATTTCCCCTTCTTCGCTGTCAGAGTCACTTTCCGTGCTGCGCGGCTCCTCAGAAATAATGCCTGCTTTTGCGAAAGCTTGAACAACAGAGCCAGCAGACACGTTAGTCCAAGCATCTACAATCCATCCGCAAACG